GTGGCCCTGTCCCCGCAGTGTCCCTGTCCCCGCAGTGTCCCTGTCCCCACGGTGTCCCTGTCCCCACAGTGTCCCTGTCCCCGCAGTGTCCCTGTCCCCGCAGTGTCCCTGTCCCCACAGTGTCCCTGTCCCCACGGTGTCCCTGTCCCCGCAGGTGAGGGGTGGCAGGAGGCGGCTCTGGACGAGTTTGATCGCCTCACTCACTGTGCGCAGTGGACGCCGCTGGTGGCGCAGATCTGCAGCTACAGCCAGAGCGGCCTGGGGCCCCAGCCCAGCGTGCGGCTGTTCACCGAGCACCACGGACAGGTGTGTCCCCTGTCACCTGTGTCACCAGTGTCCCCTGTGTCACCTGTGTCACCACCTTCACCTGTGTCACCAATGTCCCCTGTCCCCTGTGTCCCCTGTCCCCCGGCCCAGCGTGCGGCTGTTCACCGAGCACCACGGACAGGTGTGTCCCCTGTCACCTGTGTCACCAGTGTCCCCTGTGTCACCTGTGTCACCACCTTCACCTGTGTCACCAATGTCCCCTGTCCCCTGTGTCCCCTGTCCCCCGGCCCAGCGTGCGGCTGTTCACCGAGCGCCACGGACAGCTGTGTCACCTGTGTCACCTGTGTCACCCGTGTCACCTGTGTCACCTGTGTCACCTGTGTCACCAATGTCCCATGTGTCCCCTGAGCCGTGTCCCGGTGTCCCCTGAGCCACCAGTGTCCCTTGTCCTGCTGCTGTCCCCCTGCTGGCCCTGTCCCCATTCCCGTTCCCCATTCCCATTGTTCCCGTTGTTCCCGTTGTCCCTGTTGTCCCCATTCCGCTTGTTCCTGTTGTTCCTGTTGTTCCCATTCCCGCTGTCCCCATTGTCCCCATTGTTCCCATTGATCCTGTTGTTCTGGTTGTTCCCGTTGTTCCCATTCCCATTGTTCTGGTTGTTCCCGTTGTTCTCATGATTCCCATTCCCATTGTTCCCATTGTTCTGGTTGTTCCCATTCCTGCTGTTCCCATTGTTCCCATTGTTCCCGTTGTTCCCATTCCCATTGTTCCCATTATTCCCATTGTTCCGGTTGTTCCCATTCCCGTTGTTCCCATTGTTCCCGTTGTTCCCGTTGTTCCCGTTGTTCCCATTGTTACAGTTTTTCCCATTCCCATTGTTCCCGTTGTTCCCATTGTTCCCATTGTTCCGGTTGTTCCCATTCCCATTGTTCCGGTTGTTCCCATTGTTCCGGTTGTTCCCATTCCCATTGTTCCGGTTGTTCCCATTGTTCCGGTTGTTCCCATTCCCATTGTTCCGGTTGTTCCCATTCCCATTGTTCCCGTTGTTCCCATGGTTCCGGCTGTTCCCATTGTTCCCATTGTTCCGGTTGTTCCCATTCCCATTGTTCCGGTTGTTCCGGTTGTTCCCGCAGAGCCTGGATGTGGGAGCAGAGCTGGTGCGTTTGGGTTACGCCGTTCCCGGTCCCCCTGAGGAGCCCTCAGTGAGCTGCTCCCGGTGTTCCCCCGGTGTTCCCGGTGTTCCCCCGGTGTTCCCCCGGTGCCCTCCCGGTGTTCCCCCGGTGTTCCCTCGGTGCCCTCCCGGTGTCCCCGGTGCCCTCCCGGCGTCCCCGGTGCCCTCCCGGTGTTCCCCCGGTGTTCCCCCGGTGCCCTCCCGGTTCCCTCCCGGTGTCCCCGGTTCCCTCCCGGTGTTCCCTCGGTGTCCCCGGTGCCCTCCCGGTGCCCTCCCGGTTCCCTCCCGGTGTCCCCGGTGCCCTCCCGGTGTCCCCTCCCAGTTCCCTCCCCGTGTCCCCCCAGTGTCCCCCCGGTGCCCTCCCGGTGTTCCCTCCCGGTTCCGTCCCGGTGTCCCCCCGGTGTCCCCGGTGCCCTCCCGGTGTCCCCGGTGGGGCTCATCCCGCTTTTCCCGGGCAGGACGATCTGGGCTGCGCCTCCCCCCCGAGCTCCGGGGCCGGTCCCGGGACCCCGTCCCCCCGCAGCCCCCCCGGTGATCCCGGGGCTCTCCGGTGACGCCGCTCCCGGTGCGGCGTTCCCTGCCCCGGGAGAACGGAGCCGGGACCCCCGGACCCCTCCCCGGTGCCGCCGCCGCCGTCGTGCCCGGGGACATCCTCACGGTCACCTGAAGCTGCGTGTGCCCGGTGCCACCGGCACGGTGACCGGGAGCCGCTCCCGGTGTCACCCTCCAGGTGACCGGGAGCCGTTCCCGGTGCCACCACCACGTGCAATCCCCTCTCCGGAGCCCTCCGGGAGGCCGCACCGACAAACCGCGGGGATCTCCGCTTGTGCCTCTTGTCGGGACGCGACACGCCGGTTCCGAGCGCCGGCGGTGCCCTTTCCGTTACCGGGACTTCCCGGTTCCCTCGCCTTGTTTGGCTGTTCCGTTGCACTATTTGTGGTTCTGAGTTAATAAAGTTGAAGGTTTCTCAGCGCTCCGTCCCGGCGGGAACCGGGTGGGAACCGGGATCAGGCGCTCCGGGGCAGCCCCCGCCGGGGTCCTTCGGGGCCGCCCGGCGCGGGCTCTGCGCAGGCGCAGTGCGGGCGGCGCGCGCTCCTCGGCGCCGTGAGGGGGAGCGGGGTCGCCATGTTGGCCCCGGGGGCGGCGGGACGGACCCTGAGGCGGGCCCTGGGCCTGAGCCGGGGGCTGCTGAGCGCGGGGGCACCGGGAATGGCGGCGGGACGGACCCTGAGGCGGGCCCTGGGCCTGAGCCGGGGGCTGCTGAGCGCGGGGGCACCGGGAATGGCGGCGGGACGGACCCTGAGGCGGGCCCTGGGCCTGAGCCGGGGGCTGCTGAGCGCGGGGGCACCGGGAATGGCGGCGGGACGGACCCTGAGCCTGAGCCCTGGCCTGGTGAGAGCGGGGACACCGGCAATGACGGGGGCGCCTGGAGTCGGTACCGGGGGCGGCGGGATGGGCCCTGAGCCGGCCCCATAACCCCGTTATTGACCCCATAACCCCGTTATTGACCCCCATAACCCCGTTATTGACCCCATAACCCCGTTATTGACCCCCATAGCCCCGTTATTGACCCCAGAGCCCCGTTATTGACCCCATAGCCCCGTTATTGACCCCCATAG